CAATGTAGTAGTAGCTGTCTGTTATTGACAATTAGGAGAAAGAGAAGGACAGCAAGGTGAACATATGGAACAATTTAGAATCCATTAGTCCTTAAAACCCTCATCTCATACATACTTGGTCTGTCTAAAAACCCACCTTCTGGCTCCCAAGCAAGTCAGCCCCCCTTGTTCTTCAACAAACTTGTTTCCAGAAAATCAGTCCTGATATCTCTGATGCTTCCCTACTCCCATGGCCCACCAGCAGAGCAACACGGCTTCTCAGTTCTAAGCTGCCATCAGAGAGTTGGTCTTCCTCTTCGGCCGTAGCTGGGCAGACCATTAACTTACTTGGCCCTTTAGTGTTCTTTGACGTGTGTGTGTGTGTTTATGGCTTTATTCATGCACCCCGGGCATCCTGGGCTGCCCTCCCGCTGTCAACAAATTCCTGTTCATGCAATGAACTTCAGGACTTTAATCACACACCAAAAAATCATCATCCAGTCTAACTTCTCCACCAACAACATCACTGATAACCATTCGTCTGGCTTCTGCTGAAACATTTCCAGAGAACGGAAGTTTTTAAAAGCGGGACACAGCATATCAAGACAGCTATAACTATGGAGAGTTATTTCTTGCCAGCAATAGATACTCAACAACTGTTGAATTTAATATAGAGCTGGAATCTGGGTGCACATGATCCTTCCTTTTGCCTTCCCCTGCTTTCTGAAATGACAGCAAGTACATTTATTCATGTTCCCACTGGGAGAATTTGGAAATCTGTGGGTCTCCTATCAAGACCCCTTTGAGCCTTTTTTACTTCTGGGATAAACATCTCCCATATCTTTAGTTGTCCTTTGTTTACAAACATTCCCATTTCTCCTGGCTTTCTGGTTCCTCCTTCTTGAGGTGTCCTAGTGTTTTCTAAAATGCCATACTCAGGCATGAGAAACACTCTATTAGACATAAATTGGCCAGTAGGAGGTACATTGGACTGATTGTTCTCTTAATATATGGCCTCTTTACTTCTCCAGAGGCAATTTGTGATTAGATTAATTTTTGACATCTGCGGCCTCTGATTTATTCTGAACGAATTGCCATCAAAAACCTCTGGATCTCTCATTCAAAATCTACTTCTTAGCTAAACGTGTCTATACTTCACTTGGGCCCTTGTTTGAATCTAATTGTAGGACATTACATTTATTCCACTTTAAGTATTTCTATTTTTGCTAATCCTGTTCTTTTTGCCACTTAACAATTTCCACTCTTACTTGTTTACTCTGCTATTACTTACCCTCAATTCTGCATCATTATTAAATTTGACAAACACCTTCAGGTACCTACTCTGTGTCCTTAATATGCAAAGGCTGGATTTCTAGAGACTAAGGAGCCAACATGAGGAAATAACTCTTTAAAATATTAGGATTTCTGGGGTGCCTGGGTGGCTCAGTGGGTTAAAGCCTCTGCCTTCGGCTCGGGTCATGATCCCAGGGTCCTGGGATCGAGCTCCGGATTGGGCTCTCTGCTCAGCAGGGAGCCTGCTTCCTCCTCTCTCTGCCTGCCTCTCTACCTACTTGTGATCTCTGTCTGTCAAATAAATAAATAAAAATCTTTAAAAAAATAAAATAAAATATTAGGATTTCTGTCTCTTTTGGAACACACAATGCATAGGGATCATCTGTTAATTTTAAGAACACAGATTACAACTGCACATCTTGATAAACTGTCTCAAAATGTACTCACCATGTAACCACCACCAAATCAAGAAAAAGAACTTAACCAGCAATCCAGACACATCAGACAATAATACCCTGTTCCCCAAAATAAACACAACCCTAATTTCTACCACCATATTAGTTTTGCCTGTTTCTGAGCATCATATAAAAGAAATCCTTGATCATGATCCCAGGGGCCTGGGACTGAGCCTTGCATCAGGCTCCCTGCTCAGCCCCTCCCCCTGCTCCTGCTCCCTCTCCACCCCCTCTCAAATAAGTAAATAAAATCTTAAAAAAAAAAGGGAGAAATCCTTGGATATACTCTTTTGTGTCTAGCTTGCTTTTTTTCCTCTCTTGTATTCAACAATATTCTGTCAAATGATTTTACCACGATTAATTAATCCATTATATGTGGTTACAGTTTTAAGCTAATAAAAATAGTGCTGCTGTGTACATTCTTGATATCTTCTGGTGTTCAGTGTATGCATTTCTGCGAGGAGGTTTCTAGAATATCTGCATATTCAGCTTTAGAAGACAATCCCTAATTATTTTCTAAAGGAGTGTCATCAATTTATTGTCCACAAATTGGATTCAAGGGTTTGTTTTCTTCTGTCTTATGGTCACCACTTGGTGTTGTCTGTCTTCATGATGTTAACATCCTTATAACCCCTGAGAGACAGTGGCATCTCATTGTGGTATGCAAATTAGAGTTTCTTGATATTGATGATTAATAGCCCTTTGGACATTCTCTTTTGTGAAGTGTCAATGGAAGATATTTCCCATTTTAATAAAATGGGTTGTCTTTCTTTTCCTTGTTGATATATAAAATATATATATATATATTATATATATTATTTGTGAGATATATATATTTATTTGTGAGATATATATATATATATATTACAAATAGGTCTTTTTCACTCTTTGGTTTGCCTTTTCACATTCTTAATAGCTCTTTGAACATTCTCTTTTGTGAAATGTCAGTGGAAGATTTTTACCCATTTAAAAAAAAATGGGTTTTCTTTCTTTTCCTTATTGATGTATAGAAATATATATATTTATTTGTGGGATATATATAGTATACATGGGTCTCTTCACTCTTTGGTTTGCCTTTTTACATTCTTCGTAATGTCTTTGTAACATATAAAATCACAGGTTAGAATGTCAATATCTAAATGTCAAGTCCACCTGTATACCCTATCGATTTACAAATGAAAATCTAAATTAAAAAATTGGATTTAAAACAGTAGAAAAGCAGGATACCTGGCTAGCTCAGTCAGTCAAGCAACTGCCTTTGGACTATATCTAATGTTTTTAAAAGATCTCTTTATTTATTTGATAGAGAGAGAGTATCAGAGGGGAGAGGGAGAGACAGACTCTCAAATAGACTCCATGCTGAACTTGGAGACCAACAAGGGTATCGTTCTCACAACCCTGAGATCATGGGCTGAGCAAAACCAAGAGTCAGATGCTTAGCCAATGGAGCCACCCTGGCACCCCTGACTATATCTAATTTTTAAGTATTTTTCATTTATATGTATTTCTTGTTTGTTTCCTCCAAAAACTGTATTCCAGCTCCAGGGTCATACAGAGTAGCCTATTTTGTTACCCCAAGTAGCTGTTTTACTTTATTTCTCCTATTAGGATTTACCATCTGTGTGGAATTTATTTTTTTAATATATTGTGAAGTAGAGATGCACATTTATTTTTATTTTCTACCTTTTTTACATGGGACCGTAAGTCTTCTAAGACCACCTTTTCCCTGATGTATCAGGAGTATCAAATTTGTCATAAATCAAGTGACTATATATGAGAGTCCCTTTCTGGAATATCTGTTTTCCTCCATTGATTGATTTATGTATTGTTTTATCAATAATACTGTGTATGAAATACTGTAACTTCAAAACAAGTTTTGATATCTCTACATAATTTGTCCAGTTTTCTCATTCTTTGTCAAGATTGGCTCAGTCTTCTTGGTTCCGTGCATTTTCAGTTTGGTTTGAAATCAGCTTGTAAGTTTCCAGAAGGTAAAAATACGACAAAACACCCTCTGTGGGTTTTGATTGAAATTGCATTGAACCCAGGTAGGTAAATTTGCTAAGAATTGCAAATTTTCATTTTTCTCAAATAATGTGTCTTACACATCTTTAAAGTTATGAGATTAATGCTTTCTGCTATTTTTAAAAAGATTTTACTTATCTGTCAGAGAGAGGGAGAGTGAGTGCACATGCAGGGGGAGCGGCAGACAGAGGGAGACTCCCCATGTGGCAGGGAGCCTGACGTGGGGCTTAATTCCAGGACCCCAGGATCATGACCTGAGCCAAAGGCAGATGCTTAACTGACTGAACCACCCAGCCATCCCACTTTCCAGCTACTTTAAATCCCATTTTTAAATTTAGGCTTTTATTTGTACATTGATAGGATATATAAGTGGACTTGACTTTTAGATATTGACATTCTAACCTGTGATTTCATATGTACATACAGATTTTTGATATTCTACGTTTTACAGTCTTTAAGAAAATAAAGACCTTGCTATTTATGCCTTTCAAATCTTATGCCTTTTATTTTTTCTCTTGCATTTATTTTTTCTCTTTTCTCAATTGTGTCACCAAATGCCATTGGTAGCACCAGCTCTTTTTCTGATTTCAGGGAGGAAACATAATATTTAATTAAATTATACTCCATATATAGGAACCTCCCAGTGCCTGCCCCCTATTATTTCAGAATCATTATGGACAAGCGACTGCTGTGTCCATCCTACTCCTCCTCTTTGAAACATAGTGTTTATTGGGAATAATGTTTCTTCATTCCACCATTGTATGTAGGTGGTTGGAAGGCAGGTGACTGCCTTTTCAGTTCATGGATCAGGAGGAGGCACATATGGGGTCTGGAAACCATCATGCGAATTTGGACTGAGGGTCTGATACTGTGACAGGATGGGTTGACACTTCAGACTATTAAGAAACCAATAGACTTGGGGCGCCTGGGTGGCTCCTTGGTTAACTTTCTGCCTTTGGCTCAGGTCTTGATCTGAGGGTCCTGGGATTGAATCCCGCATCCAGCTCCCTGCTCAGCGGGGAGCCTGTTTCTCCGTTGCCTTCTTCCCCTCCTCCCTGCCTATGTTCTTTCTCTCTTCCTTTCTTTCACTCTCTCTCTCAAATAAATAAATAAAATCTTAAAAAAGAAGAAGAAGAAGAAGAAGAAGAAGAAGAAGAAGAAGAAGAAGAAGCAGCAGCAGCAGCAGCAGCAGCAGCAGCAGCCGCCGCCAATAGACCTTTTGTTTTCTCCTTTGTTTGGCCATTGTAGGTCTTCTGTGATTTCCATGGCCACTCTCAAAAGAAGAATGTATTCCTTTATGGCTGTAGCATCAAGGAGACCTTGTGGCAAGCAGAGTCCAGTGTGGGCACATCACATCTCTTGGAAGACATCGGCTACAGGGTAAGTCCCTGGGGACAATGACAAAAGACACTTTATGCCCATATTCTTGCCTTTGAGACACATGCCCCACCCATTTTTCCCCCTAAATAAGCATTTTCATTATTTCGACTGTAGGATTATAATACAAACAGGTTGGAAGCATGTACAACCTCTCTCTATTTTTGATGAATAATAGCTTTCCTACCTGGTTGCTGTGTTTTGTTTTCTAGATGATATGATGTAGTGCAAAGGGCATAAAAATTGGAGAGAGGGAGCCTCCGTTTAATGCCTGGCTTTACAATTATTAACTGTGCACCTAGGAGTCATTACTAACGCCACCTCTCTGAACCACCATTCGTCCCCTGTGAAATGAGGAGAGCACAAATACTGCTTCTGTTTCATGTTTATGAGAGCAACAAAATGATACTGTATATGAAAGGATCTTAAATAACTAGGAAGGGTTGAAAGAAAATCAGACCCTCTGCACCCCTCTGTGTGAGCACGCTCTGAAAAGCAGAGCAGTGATCCACTGAAGCTAATTCTGTTTTTTCTGGGTCCCAGTGGTTAGAGCTCCATGATTCCCCCACTGAACCAATGGGGAAGATAAGGAGGGGTAAAGAAGGAGGGACTTCTTACTGTTAGGATAAAGGGAAGAGACGTTGATGAGGCAGCATTGTCCAAACACAAAATAAAAGCTGGCCTTTATTTCAAATGTATATAGAAAGCAAAGAAAAATTACTGAGTTGGAAAACCCTCCAGTTCTCCTGCGTCTTTCTCCTTTACTTTCACACAGAACTTCCGACACTTGCCACCAGATCTTTGGGGGTTTTACCCCACCAGGGACTTCTGAGACACCAGCTGGGTGTCCTACAATGTAACTCAATCCTGACGCTATCCACCTAGAGACAGCAGCAGATCCCACAGTTTAAGGATTCAGTCCCACAAGACTGCCTCCTCCTTCAGGTGCCTGTCACCAGTAGTCAGGTCCCAGGTTCCCCATGACTTCTGTCTGACTTAGCTCTCAGTTGGAGGGTCCCATGACCTCCCCTCCTGCCGTGGATTCAGTAATTTGCTGGAGTGGCTCACAGAGCTCAGGGAAGCACTTACTGACCGTTTCCTGTTTATTAAAGGGTATGATAAAGGATGCAGGTGAGCAGCCAGATAAGAAACATAAGGGCAGGGACTGGCAGGGTCCCAGTACAAGAGCTTCTGTCCTGTGGAGTCGGGGGTTGGTATCATCCTCCGGGCATGTGGATATGCTCACCAACTTAGAAGCTTTCCGAATGCCATTTATTGGGATTTTATGGAGGCTTCTTCATGTAGCTGTGGTCAGTTATTAACTTGTCCCCAGCTCCTCTTCCCACTCCCATCCCCAGTGGGGATAGTCTGATCCAGGAGCCCTCCCAGAATCACCTCATTAGAACAAAAGATGCTCCAAATGCTCTTATCACTTAGGAATTTACAAGGGTTTTAGGAGCCCCATGTCAGGGACTAGGGATGAAGGACAAATACATGTTTCCTACTATAAATCCCAATATCACAATTATCATGGTACCTACCTCTTACAAGTTCTTTATTATTCTGGATATATGAATTTACTGGGTATACAATAGCTTCATTCCTTGGGTTAATGAGTATAAAAGAGATAAATATCCACCAAACTGCTATTTCACCCAGAAATACCTCCCCTGCTCTCTCAGTCTTTCTTCACTCTCTCCTTCATGTCCTCCAGAAATGGGACTCCTGGTGATCAGTAGAGGGTCCCTCAAGGCAATTAGAGCAGAACCAACAAGTTATCTTCAATGTCCTATTTACTCTAAGCCCCAACCACAGTCATGGGGATTTTGATACACAATTAGAATCTGAAAGAGAAGAAGGAAGGAAGGAAGGAAGGAAGGAAGGAAGGAAGGAAGGAAGGAAACCAACTAAGGAAGTAAAGGAAGGAAGGATGGAAAGAGGGAGGAAGACAGGAAGGGAAGAGAGAGTGATGTAGGAAGGAAGCAAGGAATTGCTTTCCTGCAAGCAAGGAATTCTTGCACTGAAAAGTACCACAACCAAAGTGAAAGTTTCCCTAGATAGGAGCATGAGCAGATCTGTAATGGCAGGAGAATCAGTCATTAAACTTGAAGGTCAATCCAAAATTACTAATCTTAAATAATAGAGAAACAAATGTTGAAAAAAAGTCAACAGCCTTAGAGACCTAGGATAGCATCCAGTGTAATACAGAATGGAATAATTAATCAGAAATGTATAATGAATGTAAGTGAATGTTTATAACCCCAAAATATATAAGCAGAAATTGGCAGAATTGAAGGAAGAAATTTAAAAATTCAGTAATAGTAGTTGGTTATTTTAATACTCCTCTCAGTAAGCAATAGAACAACCAAACAGAAAATTAGTAACTAGAGAAGACATGACCTGATTGATACATATGATTGATATATATGTAACAATTCTCAAAACAGAAGAATATACATTGTCTTTGAGTCCACATCAGAGTTATCCTAGGTAGACCTTATACTAGACCATACAAGTATGTTCATTTGCCATGACAGAATTAAATTACAGATCAACTTTTGTAAGATTCTGGGAGATGTTTGAATATTTGGAAATTAAACAGTGTACTCAAAAATAACTCCTGGGCCAAAGAAGAAATCAGAAGGAAATTAGAAAATGTCCTAAAATGAATAAAAGTAAAAATACAATATATCAAAATGTATGGTGTATAGTTAAAATAGTGCTTAGAGAAAAGTTGTAGCTTTGAATGCTTCTATTAGAAAGGTGGAAAGATCTAGGGCACCTTGGTGGCTCAGATAGTTAAGTGTCTGCCTTCGGCTCAGGTCATGATCCCAGGTCCTGGGATTGAGTCCCACGTCGGGCTCCTGGCTCAGTGGGGAGTCTGCCTCTCCCTCTCTCTCTGCCTCTCCCCCAGTAAAGAGAGATAAACTACCGGTATACGCAAAAACATAAACTTAAAAATAAGTCAGAGGCAGACAAAAAAATGTAGGGTTCGATTTATGTGACATTTCCAAAAAAGTCAAAAATTACAGAGTAAAGAAGCAGATCAGGGGTTGCTTTGGGCAGGATTGACTGGAGTGAGCATAAAAGACAAGTTTTTATGGTGACAAAAGTGTTCAAAAACTGGATTATTGATAATGGCTGCAAAACTCTATACATTTCCTAAAAATCATTGCATTGTTCACATGCCTCAATAAAGCTGATACATGTATTTTTAAAAGTAAACGTTCATTGATTATGTACCGTGTGCCCGGCACTGTGCTAGGTATTTATGTAATGAAGCTGAGCAGAGCAAGGATTTCTAAGAAATAACAGTTGGGGAAAGAGGTGGAATATCAGAAACTTAAAAGGACAGAAAAATATGTTCAAGAATGGAAATATTAGGAGGTAACACAGAGAAGACTGATTAACTCTCTATTGGTGCGGAGTTGAGTAGATGATCCCAATGGACAAATGTCTGAGGGGCAGATAGGAGCGGTGTTAGGATGTTCCCTGAAAAAAAAAAAATTATGAATGATTTTTAACTAAGTTTGATTTTAAGAGAAATCTGAAGAAATGGAGTGACGTGAATTTTGTGATAATTAAAACTTGAGCCTTAAAGAATTTTAACCGCTAGTTGCGGATCACAGTGGATTGAGGGGAGGTGGATTGAGATGAGTTGTTCAGCACCTCTGCCTGGGAAGCGTCTCTTGTTCGTGACCTTTCCCAGTGTTGATCTTTCTCCTAAGCTTCCAGTTGGGAACATCTGCAAGGAGACCACCGGGGGCACCCCGCGTGCACTCACTCTTTTAATCTTCCCAACTACTGTGTATTCTCAAATAGGGTATGCTTAAGCAGTGTTTATGGAGTAAGTAGGGACTTTGAATAGCACCGCATTTGACATGTGAGGGAGGGGAGGTGCAGAGATGAGCTGAAATGTCTAACGGTCCCACAGGTAGCAAGAGCTGGGATGGGGACCCAGGTGACTCAACACCAGGTCTCGCCTCCCGTGCTGATTTCAGTGGTCTTCTAGAGCATGTGCTCAGTGAGACAGAAGCTAAACTGAGAGTCTGCTGCTCTGTAGTTCAGGATGAAAGAGGGGGTCAAAACGGGAAGGAATCCTCCTTGGGTGCTTAGTAAACAGGAGATTATCTCAGTGAGGAGAAGGGAAATCTACAAAGCAGAGAGAGGTTTTCAGAGCTGTTTTTTCCATCTTGGAAGTTTGACATTTTGAGCAGAGCGACTCCCCTCTCTTCTAAACCCTCACCCATCAGCAAAGTCCGCTCTTAAGAGTGCAATAAACACTGCACATTTACTGAAGGTGCCCATGGCTTTGGCCCCTCGCTCAAGGTCGGGTCTAGTCCTACCCCTCCGCCTTCGATGATGACAAAAATGAGGGTTAGCAGAGTTAAACGACTGCTCCAACTCAAACCATGGAGTGTGAACCCAGATTTCATACTTTTGACCCCTAGTCCCAGCCAGGTCCTTGCCCCATGCTTAATTCAGAGGAGAGAGAAGACATTTGAGTTCTGTAGGGTCGACCATAGGGAACTGGAGCCCCAGAGATGGCCTCTCCCTGGAAATGAGCCCTGAGCTGGGAGCTGTCTGGGTAGTTCGTAGTCAGCACATCTTTGAGAGTTATATTTTCTGTGAATTTGGGAAACCAGACAGGGCTTGGAAGAGTCTGCAGAAAGCAGATGAATTGAAATGCAACTCGGGCTTCTATGGTATGCCTCAAAACCGGAATTAATGAATCAGGATCCTCCCCTCCCCCATCAGCTGAGGCTGCTGTTGACCCAGATGCTCCTGGAAAGATGGGAGTCAGTGTCTATGGGGATGCAGGTGACTCTCAGCGCTGTTTCATGTCTAGTCTTTTGATCCCTGCTGGGTCTGTGTTGAGACCACACTGAAGGCCACCTCCTGGGCCATGCCCTGTGTGTCCATTCTGTCATTCATTCCTTGTATCCCTTTACACGTCTATGGGATTATAATACTTACTAAAGAAGTAGTTCTTGGCAGTGGTTAGACCAAGCTCATGTGATCTATGTCAGAACCTCTGGGTTGACATTCTGGATTTGTCCTTACTATCTCTGTGACCATTGAAAAGAGACTTGACAGGTCTCTATATTATGAGATAATAACAGAACTTACTCTGAAGACTTGCAATGATTAAAAGAGCTAATGCATGTAAAATACATAGTAAGTGTTCAATGAAAATGTATCTATTATAATTTTCAAGCTTTGGAAACCCAGATTAAGTTTAAGGGCACAGAGCAAGCAGGAGGGAAAGAGTTGAGCATCCCGAGTCTTCCCACCCAAGATGGGAGATCCCTGGGAGAACTGAAACAAGGCCTCAGTGGGTCAGTTCATACACAGAGTTCATCTACGCCTCGTTCATTTACAAAACAGAGCAAGACAATCTCCAGCTGTTAGAGTTGTCATTATCTTCCTTTCTCGCTCTGCCATAGATCAATTTGTGTGAAATCAAGAGATACAGAATCAGGAGTTTACTATCCATGCTGTAGTAGTTTTGGAATCCATTATTTAATGAATGGATAAAGGATTGCCGTGGGTGTATAGGAGGGGTACTCCAACTGCACCTTGTAAATGAGGGGATCACAGCTTGTAGAGCTTTCCGAGAGACATGCCATTAAATTGAATGTGTGGTCATTTGCACAGGGGATATATGAATTAAGAAAATCAGGGTCGCTTAAGAAAGAAAGGAGAGATCATTTAAATAATGTCCAATTAGAATTTTTACAGCAAGGTAAAACATTGATAAGTTAAAACTATTTTCAAGTTTTTTAAATTACTTTAGTTGAGAGATATATATATATACACACTCACTGTATGTGTTTCATATGTATGTATGTATGTATGTATGTATGTATGTATGTATGTATGTATATGGTGTATTTATGTCTAAGCAGTCCCCTAAGGGTCTGGGCGAGCAGATTCTATTTATTTCAGCAGCTAATTACGGAGTGCCCTCAAGGGCTGCACATCTGTGTGTAGAGATTTTCCTGTGAAGGAGACATAGACCTGCCCTATGGAACTTCTGGACTGCAGAGAAGATAGAAAATAAACAGCTAATTACATGAACATCAATTTTATTGTAATTGTGGTGAACACTTTGAAGGAGAAAAGCGGGGAGAAGGAATCACAGGGAGAGGGGGACAAGGGTGGATAGATGAAACCAGTTATGGGGGCAATTGTGGAAACTCAAGTGAGGACATTAGCAGCTCAGTTTCCTTGCTCAGATGATGCTGCAGGTCTGCAAGCTGTGTGGGAACATAAAGATCATACTAAATTATATGACTAACTGTGCTACATTACACATATATCATAGGTAATTTGTAATATAATTAGTAATTGTATTAATTGTTATATTAATGTAATTAAGTTATATTAAACATGGGGACAGGAAGAACCCAGGGATATTAAGAGATCTGTTCGATGTCCTAGAAATTCACAAAATTGCATTTCTTTTTTTTTAAGATTTAAAAAATGTATTTGTGAGAGAGAGAGGGGGAGAAAGAGAAAGCACAAGCAGGGGCAGTGGCAGGTAGAGACCACCCAGGCATCCCACAAAATTGCATCTCTTTAAAAATCATTTCTTAGTTCATATTCTCATCCTGCTGCTCCGCCTTCTCCCCACAATTTGTCCAAAAGCCTGAATTTTCACTGTTATCGAATGTACATAATTTTATATTATGTGCTAGTATGTGGATATTCTGTGTACAGTGAAGTAGAGAAACCTTCTTGCTAATATCGCAGAAATTTGGGACTGTCTAGGTCCAGCATTTCCACTAACCCAGGGACCTGATGTGCTATCATATCTTGAGTCATCGTCCTTGGATGGGGGAGATCTGGTGACGAGGAGCATCAGAGAGTAGCAAGGATCTACAGATGCTGTCTAAAATAGATTAAGTGGTCTCACATAAAACTTTTCGACTCTAGGGGCGCCTGGGTGGCTCAGTGGTTTAAAGCCTCTGCCTTCGGCTCAGGTCATGATCCCAGGGTCCTGGGATCGAGCCCTGTATCGGGCTCTCTGCTCGGCGGGGAGCCTGCTTCCTCCTCTCTCTCTCTCTGCCTGCCTCTCTGCCTACTTGTGATCTCTGTCTGTCAAATAAATAAATAAACAAAATCTTTAAAAAAAAAAAAACAAAAAACTTTTCGACTCTAGGAAATGGTGGGTTAGAAGAACCCAGGGAAGAGGGGTGCCTGGGTGGCTCAGTCGGTTAAGCATCCAGCTCTCGGTTTTGGCTCAGGTCGTGATCAGGCCCCACGTTATGGGCTCTGCACTCAGCACAGAGTCTGCTGAAAATTATCAGCAGACTGATAATTCCTCCCCCTCTGCCTCTCCCTCTGCTCCTCATCCTGCTTTCTGTTGTGTGTGCTCTCTCTTTCTCAAATACATAAATAAAGTCATATATATATATATATAAAGTCATAAAGTCATATATATATATATACCCACCGAGAGAGAGCATACATTAGAACCCAGAGAGGGCATACATTTTTAATGATTTTATTTATTTATTTGACAGAGAGAGAGACACAGTGAGAGAGGGAATACAAGCAGGGGAGGCGGGAGAGGGAAAAGCAGGCTTCCCACAGAGCAGGGAGCCCGATGTGGGACTTGATCCCAGGACGGTGGGACCATGATCTGGGCCGAAGGCAGATGCTTAACAACTGAGCAGTCCAGATGCCCCCAGAAAAGACATATTTTTTAGACTTTTGTAACTGGCCCAGCCTCAGATTTATGGATCATAAGATAACACTGGAGGGACACCTGGGTGGCTTAGGTAAGCATCTTCCTTTGGCTGGTATGATGATCCCAGGGTCCTGGGATGGAGCCTCATTGGTCTCCCTGCTCAGTGGGGATCCTGCTTCTCCCTCTGCCTCTGCCCCTCCCTCTGCTTGTTCTCTCTCTCTCTGTGTCATGAATAAAATCTTTAACAAACAAATAAGGTGGGACTAGAAAGTTCATTTTGGCAGTCATACTCTTTCAGGAAACTTTATATGCGACCCCCAGTGGTTATCGGTGACTTGTACACCTGGGATAAATGAACAGTCCCTAGTCCGACTTAGAGCTGGGAAACCGTGAGATCGGGTGGAGTCACTCTGAATGTCAGTCCCTGTGGCATCTGTGGCTTTCCATGGAGTTCAGAGCAGTGATGCATGAGCCTGAGTGTCCGTGCGACACCGGTCCATGGGGATGCCGAAACACGGACCTGAAAGACTGTGGTCTTTGGGGTTGGCCCGCTTGGCATTTGGCTCCCATGTCAGCCTCTTTGTAGTTGGACTCATGCTATTTCTTTCTTGCTTTTCTAAGTCTCAGTTTCCTCATTTAAGAGCAAAAAGCGACAAACCCTTGGCGTCTCTTTCTTCGGGATGATGTAAGAGTCGCAGCTGCATGTATTAAGTGATTGATAGACTGAGATGCATAATAAATGTTGAGATGTTAATTTTTATGATGCTCTTCCCCAACTCATCATGGCTTTATTTTTTTATCGTAGACTCTTCCCAAAATCCTTGATAAGCTCGCCCCAGCATTCACAATGAGTAGCTGCAGCTTCCTCGTGGAGAAATCCCGAGCCTCCACGGCCCGGGTGGTGGTGTGGAGAGAGATGGGGGTGTCCAAAAGCTACACCATGGAGAGCAGCTACTGTGGTTGCAACCAGGGACCCTATCAGGTATGTGAGGCTCTGGCATCCGTATGCTTTCCGGCAGCAATATACCGTAAGGGCGGGGAGAGGCTGTCAAAGACCACTCATTTCTTCCTTCTCTCCTGGGAGTGGAAGAAGTCTCCAGGTAGTCTGGCCCAGTGACCTGATCTTGCAGAACTAGCTCAACGATTGCCTTCCCTGGTAGCACTGTCTGTGTTGATCCTGCCAACAGTTTGTCCGTGCCTGCTGATTTGCTTTCTCAATCATCTGCCCTTGCCAGCAAGTCACAGGGAGCCTCCCTCAGACATGTGTCCCCAGCTTTCCTGGAACCTCTGCCTGGCCCTGTTTGATGCACAGGGCTCCCTTGTTACCCCCTGCACCAGTCCACCAAGCTCCCCTTGCATCACCAAGGCCGTGGTTTGGTGCCTAGAGAGTGAGCTTTCCATCCAGGTATTTTATGCCTCTAGCCTCCGTGCTTATCTAAATCAGCAGCTCGCTATTACCCTGCTGTCATCAGAGTGCACAGAAGTGACTACCTGACATGTGTCTCCCCAACATGAGTGGATCTGGGACTCAGGCTCTGGTGCCAAGGGAAAGGCTCGTATAAATCACATTCTTTCTACAGCTATATTAACTGCATGAGCAGCTGGAGAGCTGCTGTAGCAGGCTGTTCTAGCTGTTCTTCCCACTCCCCCACTAGAGGAGCATAAATAAGGGACACTGTGACAGTGCCATGGTAATAGATTCTTTTAAATTTGTTAGGCGAGCTGACAGCCTTCCATTCAACCCCAAGGATACCTGGATCTTATGAGCATTAAGGCTCATTGTGTTGGCTTTGATATTCTCCTAGAACAGCCAGAAAGCACTTGGCATCTACATGGTCCTGTGCTTGTGAAAATCTTGTTAGCTATCAAAGGGAGCATAGGGAGTGACAGGTGAGGAATATTACCTAACTTCCCACCTGGCCAAGGTTTTTTATTTTTCTGATACACAGGGCTACTGAACCACCAGCTTTGACCTATTAATTCTGTTAAATAACCTGTTTGTTTAAGCAGTTGCTAAAAATAAATGTTGTGTTCTTGAATTAATAAATTATTAGATTGAATTAGTCCACTTTACCCACATGAATGTCGATGCAGAATAAGAAGAGAGCATTGGAGGGGCATGGGGGTCAGGCACCAACAGACCTCACTTTTCCATTTATCAGCAATGCCACAAGCCACATACCGCTATGAACCTGTGTGTCACGTATCAGATATTGATAATCTTAAGGATTCCTTTCCTCCCTGCTGCACAAGAGTTTTGTAAAGGCCAAAAGAAAATTCAGGTAGAAATGCACTTGGAGGTTATATCATCACTAATAGGTTCAGTCTCTTGGCATTCAAAACCTGTAGGATTGGGAAAAATAAGCTTGGGATATTGTGACTCGAAGACATTATGGATATAGACTTGTTTCCCTCTAGCTGTGTGCCTCTTAATGGATAAGGGCCAGTCACTTGTTTAAAGGACAAATGCGTGCATCATTAACAGATCTATTGGATTGGTGACTTTCATTGACCTTGTTTCTCCAAGCCCCCATTCAGACTAAGAGCTTCCGGTCAGATAAGCATCAATGCCATTCACCATAAGTCAACTAGAAACTCAAAGTCCTCTGGAGTTGTTGTTTGTAAACTAAATGACTCGGGTTCAGGCCCCTACCACACACCACCCCCCCAAATCTGCCATGTAACAAACACAGGGGCTGCCAGAAATGACAAAGAATGGAAGAAGCTTGCCCAGTGGGATGGCTTTCACCTATCAGCCCAGCTTGCCCTGGGAAATTGTCCATGTGGCTTTTGCACGAGTCTTTGTAAGAAAGGATAGAGAACGAATTGGCTAGAGAAAAGCACTAATGGTGCCAGACCTGGTTTTGGTTTAACAGTCCCGTTCTCTATATGAAACACCTCTCCGAGTGGATTGGTTTTCTCTTTCCCTTTGTTTCTCTATCCTTACAAACATTGTTGAGTCACTGAGCAGAGTCGCAGACAGTGAGTAAGAGGATGGTAAATAATTTTACATATGGGGGGGCACCCCAGGGGATGGAAGGCGGCCCAGAGTTGGGTGTTTTGGTGATTTTGTTTGAGGTATATAATGAAGTCTATGAGTTATAAAGCAGCATAGAAATTTCCATCCTGAACATATTGCAAATGATTTTTGTACATTGAGAAGCTTAGTCCCAATTGAGTCCTGAGGTTATTATTCTAAGGTCATCTTTCCATTTTTTGCTCAGCATTACCATTTATCCAAAAGATGGAGGACACTTAAATACACCCATGAGGGGCATTCCTTCCTTCCTTCATAAGAATATAAATATTTTTGCAGTTTCTCTGGTTAACACAGCTTTAAAGTAGTTCCAATCATTTCTCCCCCAGCACACTAAGTACCTGATTTGTTAGTATTGAAATGAAATATCATTTCTTACAGTGACATTTTTGTTGGAACTGCATTAAAGAACATAAGCTATTGCCTTCAAATAATTATTATTAATATGATATTTTCTCTTCTATTTTTCAGTCCATAGTTGGCTAATCTTAAAACAAACAAACAAACAAAAAAAACCCAAAAAAACCCAACAACTCCCTTTTGTTTCTTTGGAATATGGTCTCTACTACCAGGTTATACACTTAGATCCATAATTTGTGTTTAATGTAGAAGTCCCACCCACTGAGAGATGGGCCCAAAGCTATTGAGGCTGTTGAGGGGAAAAGCCAAAATGGAATCATCCATCCCCTTGGGGCTCATTTTTTTTAGAGGTGCCCAGTCTACATAGATAGCCGTGTGCTTCCCACTGAGTGTTTGTGACCTGGGGTCACATCCATGGTGTGTGGGCACATATGAAGGCATGTGACCGGGCCCCATGGGCTGCTTGTGGCCTAGGAGGACAGTGTGAGTATTCCCACCCAAGCAGGCTCTCCGTGTGCTCATTGGCAATGCAGCTGACTTGTGGGCAGAGTGGGTCTGAGAGGAAGGACAGAAGCTGGGAGACTCAGGGAGGTCTGAAGGTCTCAGCTAATATATAAAGCCCCCACCTGCACACTGCCTCCCGTGATCCCTCCAGCAACCCATCTGCTCCATCACCGACAGAGGGGCTTTTCAGTAACCCAGACCTGTTCAAGTCACAGTATTGCCCATAATCCTTCAGAGTGTCTAGAGAAATTCTAACTCCTTGTTTTGCCAGGTAAGGCCTTTTACAATCTCATTCATCATGTGAATGCTCAATACCTTATTTAGCGTAGAGGACGTGTTGAATCTGTGTGATAACTGACCAATGAATGAATGAACGAACGGACAAGTGGATGGCGATGTCCATGCAGAGTCAGAGGAATATCCTCTCTGTCCAGAGATCACTAGAAAAAGGAGGAACTGCCATGGTCCACATGTGATTAGAAGCCACTCTCAAGTAGAAATTCTTAGTCACTGTGGTGGGTAGTCACGGAAGAGGTGTGAGCGAGAGAGGGAAGTGTGTAAGAATGCAAGGCAGAGACCTCTCCGATCGTCGCTGTCTGCATGATGTGAGAGCCCCTCAGACGCGATACCTGGCATGGATTCTTTCCCAGAGTAAGGAGATTCTAGTCAGGTGGACTTCTCACTTGGCTGCCTTCTCATAACAAATGATGGTTCAACAAAAGGAAGGCCACTTGTACAAGGTGGGGGGAATGCTTCGATGCACCTGCCAGACCCAGGACCCAGCTGCGCACTCCCAGCTGCTTACAGCTGGATACATCACCGGAATCTGTTCGTCGCCGACAGAAGTAGCCTTGACCAAAGCTGTGGCTCTTCTGGGTGAGCCTCGTGCATCTAAGGGTAGGTCTAAGGAGGGCCGGGCCTCCTAGCCCAGTCTGGGAACAGTCCACAGGGCCGTTGCAGCTCCAGAAACTCCCTGCAGGACTGCCAGGGCCTCTGTCACAGTTGTACTGGGCTTCCGCTTCCTCCTCGCCCCACCTCTGCTTTTTTGCCCCACTGACAGGTGCTGTTCTGATGAGTGTGCCCCCGAAACCCTTCCACGGGGCAGCTCACACCTGTATTCCAGAATGGCCGGGATTAGGAAACAGACACAGGGACTCAGTGCTTAGCTAGGGAAGATGGGTTGGTGGGGATGACGTTCACGTAGGGAACTGAGTCATCTCACGTGGCTTTCAGGGCTCCCAGTGTCCTTTTATTCACACTCTGTATCCTTAGCTGGTTAGGGAAGCCAGGCCTCCTGCTCCCTCCAGAAGGCAGGCTGCGTGTATTAGTGTTCTTCGGCTGCCATCCCAAATCGCCATAAATTTGGTGACTTACACCTACATAAGTGCATTCTTTCACAGCGCTGGAGGCCAGAGCCTGAAATCGGTGCCGACTACACTGTGTTCTTTCTGAAGGTTCCAGGGGAGACCGTCCTGGGCCTTTCTCTTAGCTTCTGGTGTTTCTTGGCTCATAGATGTATCACCTCTTTCTCTGTCTTCGTCCTTGCATGGCCTTCTCCACTGTGTATCCCACTGTCTTTGTGACGTCTTTCCCCCACTTAAGAAGGTTATTATTGTTTTTCTTTTATTTTTTATTGAAGTATCGTTGACACATAATGTTACATTAGTCTCAGGTATGGACTATAGTGATTCAATAACTAGACATTATTGGTCTTTCCTCTTCTTAGAAGGACACCAGACATCATGGGTGTAGGGCCCACCGTACCCCACTGTGGCCTCATCTTAACTAACAATACCCACAACATCCCTGTTTCCAGATCAGGTCACATCCTGCGGTTCTGAGAAGGACATGGATTTGGGGTGGGGGGAGACACCATTCCACCTAGTACACTGGGTCAGATAGGGAGGTACAGAATATACAAATCCAAGAACCAAAAAGAAGTTGTGTGTGTGTGTGTGTGTGTGTGTGTGTGTGTGTGTGTCTTTTAAAGATTAATCATTTGAGAGAAAGAGATTGGAGGGGTAGGGGCAGATGGACACAGAAAGAGTCTTCAAGCAGACACTCTGAGCCCAACATGGGGCTCAACACGGACTTCAATCCCA